ATCTCTAGCTAGACTTCTCCTGCCCTGATGTTTCTCTACCCACTTTCTTCCCCAAGGCAAGCCATAGAAACTAGAATTCCTCTTCCCCCAGACAGGTCATAGAAACTAGAAATATTACTGTAATCTTTTCCTACCTTTCTGAGTGGGAGTGGGCCATAAATTCTCTGACCTTCCTTGTCTCATATTAGGTCATAAGACCTTTGTTCCAGAGGGGTACTGCCATATACTGGGTAGGAAGGAATGCTACACGGAGGCAAGGCCACAAAAAATCTGGACAGATAGACCTTGCTGGGTATCCCCCCTCAGTCTGTTACCATTAGATCATACTCTTTTTTTTTTCTTTTTGGCCCCTGGCTGGCATGGGGAAGATCATACTTTTTTTTCCTTTTTTTTTTTTTTTTTTTGTCCTTTTTGTGACCGGTAATGGGATCACAACCCTTGGCTTGGTGTCACCTGCACCATGCTCAGCCAGTGAGCGCACCGGCCATCCCTATATAGGATCCGAACCCGCGGCAGGAGCTCCGCTGCGCTCCCAGTGCCGCACTCTCCCGAGTGCGCCATGGGCCCAGCCCATACTTTTTTTTCCAATCACATTTCTACATGGCTGTCCATTTTTCATCGAATCTAAGCATAAAAATGGACGGTTTTCCCTGGGTCTTTGGGTCTTCATTTCTGAAGTCTCCTGTGTCAGATAAAATTTTGGTTAAATAAATTTGTTACGCTTTTCTCTTTTTAACCTATCTTTTGTTATGAGAGTGTCAAGCATGACCTTTATGATAGGTAAGGAAAAGTATCACATCTTCCTACCCTACGGCCCCATGCTAGAAGCCTCCTCAGAACTGTGGCTCTATGTCTATCTCTACAGCCTGGAGCATTATCTGCCCAGAAGGTCTTCCCAAACCTGTGCCAGCAGAATTCATACCTGGTATCTCTCTCCCATAGTTTAGTGTTAACTTTGAGCAGGAACTTCGTCTTGGTTTGCCAACATCTCTTGCTGTGAGGCACCCTCCCACAAGAAATGCACTTACACGCCACTCATGCAGAAAAGGGCAGTTTATTCACTCCAGTTGGCCAGTGTCCGTCTCCCAAGGAGCAATCAAGGAAGAGCAGCCTCGGGCCTTGGTCTTGTAGGGTTTTTAAAGGCAAAAACTACATCCCGTTGGCACATGGGTTTGTCCAGGTGCACAAAGTAAGCTAGGGAGCTAGGTCACAGAGGCCAAGAATGAGCCATTCGAGAAATCAAGCATACCAGTTTTCATTGTGTGTGATTCCTGTTCCCATGTAATAATTCACTGTGTACGGCTCCTGTTTCTATGCACTTGGTTTTGTTTCTATGAGAAGGTCAACGGTTTCTCATGCAGAAAGGAGGAGGGTAGTCTGCAGGTCAGACAGGGGGCAAAATGGAGTTACTTAGGTTAAGCAAGCAATTCAACAGAAGCAGATAGCGTACGTTATGAGGGTGTAGGGAGCTCTATTTCACTCTAATACCCAGAACATCTAGAACAATGCCTGGCACACAAGAGGTGCCCAATTGGATTTCATTAAGTGAATGTATAGGTAGTCGTAGGTTATGTTTCTGGAGTGATCCGTGTTCTTCTCCAGGACTACCAAACCCCAAACCAGCCCTCATCTGCTGGGTAGAGGAGGAGTCCCAGCTGTGGGGCCCAGATGCTCAGGACCCTCCTGAAGAAGGAAGACTAAAAGGAAGCCAGAATGGTGAGAAGTGGGGGCTATGTTTCAGTTCCAGTTGGAAGGGAAAATGTTTTGTCGAGCAAGAAATGCCACCTGTATGTTCCTTGCTGCTGGTGTTATTAATTTTTGCTGACCTGAATTTTTGACACTACTGGAGCCTTGGACCTTGACCTTCTCTTTCTCACTTAATTGGCTTGGAGACATCCAGTGGTAAGATGATCAGGCCATACTGTATGAATCATCCAAATTCTAGGTCAGTGGCAGCGTGTGAATTCACGCTGGAGGCAGTTCACCTTTCTGTCTCCAGGTCCCTGGACCCTATAACAGCTGCTCCTCTGGTAGGTCTTGAGGTGCATATGAATATCCCTGCCTTGTGAGCCCCTGAATTGGCCAGCACAATCCAGGGGTGGGGTGGTCCCCAAGGGCTAGGTACTCATCTGAATTCTTCTGCTGTTGTGAGAGTTGATTCTGTCCCCTGAATATAAGCAGCCCTTGGGGAGCTGATAGGGCTGGAGGTAAGTTTGAATCTGCTATGTTTCCTGACAGCCACTCAGAAAAATGGTACATTTGGAAGGGACCAGCAGGAGTCTGTTTGGGAGCTGTCATGAGTCCCTGGGGTTGGAGACACTGACCTGATCTCTGAGCCTCTGGCCAGGGCTCCCTGTAACCAGGCCTTCCCCAAACCCTCTGTCTGTGCCTGGCCTCAACACCTGGCATTCACCTAGCATCTTCATTCCTGTCCCAAGTGCAGTCACCCTTTGCCAATATCGTCAACCTGGCTTGGTGTACTCCGTGGAGTGACTCTTCACCTGCAGCTCGTAGAACACCTGCTTCTACCACAGCGAGTACCCCTCATGCTACCTGCTGACCCAAGCAGGCAAGTGCTCCCAGGCCTGTCCCCACTGTGGGTGGTGCTTCAGCTGGAGGCCCACCAGTGGCCTGGTGCCATGGGCCTCAGGGGACCCCAGGTTTGTGAACTATGCCCATGGTTCTTCCCAGGAGGGCCCAGACTCCCCAGAGAGCTTCTAGTACTACCCAAAGCTTTTCCAGGCCTGTGGGTGATGGACACCACACAGAGGGATGGGCACTGACAGGTGACAAAATGCCACTGCTCTTAAGGGAAGTGTTCATGTTTTTCTTGTGTCCTTCAGGGGACTGAGAGGCTGGGAGAGCTAGGGCTGGGGTCCAGACCCCCTGGGCAACCCTGCATCCTTGTTCTTTCCAGCCTGTCCTCCATCAAACCTTTCTGCTTGGCTAGGCTGACCCCTCCCAAGCTTTCTGTTTCCTCCCCTGGCCTGCTGTGATCAACTCTTTACTGTTGAGTATGCATAAAGCAAATGTACTTCACAGGGCCTGGTTTTCCAAAGCCTTGCAGTTTCAAATACTGACCTTGCAAAGAACAGGAAAATTTCCCCAGGCTATATAGTCTTTGTTATAAGATAAAGAATTATAACACAGCACGGTTGCTGACTCAAAGACAGACAGGTTACTGATTGATATGTAAAGATACTGGGAAATTGCTGTAAGAAGAGAATGTTTGCTAAAATCAAGCTTTTGTTGCAAATTGCATTATGGAAGGTCACCTTGCTTGTCTTACTGAAAGTTACCAGCTTCCATTGTTAAACTTGTTAAACTCTACTTAGCAAAAATCCCACCTATGTTCTCTTCCTGTAACTTCCTGGTCTGGAGAATAAATGTGGGAAGAGAACCCCAATTCGTGGTTAATTTCCCAAATGGAAGGAATGCCTCGCTCCTGAGGGTTCCAGGAGATTAACCCCTTCTGGGGGCTTCTCACTGCTCAGAAGAGATGGGCTTTGAGTAATCTTCCGTGGCTCTGTCACCCAGGGGAAAAGGGGTGACAAATCCGTGGGAGACAAAGCAACACTTTATCTGCCCAGCTCCCCTGGGTGTGGGGAGAAGCATCCACCAGCTTGGAGGTGTTGGGCTGAAGCCTCTGGGGGAGCCTTTGAAAGGAGGCAAACTGTCAGAAGCTCCAGGCTGGACGCCAGACCTGCTGAAGAGGTGAATGAAGTCTTTTTCAAGAAATGTGTGAAATGCTGCAAATGATCTAACAGGCCAAAAAAAAAAAAAAAAAACCAAGTCTTCCCAGGGCAGGGTATTCATGATGGCATGTGGGAGCACAGAGTAGGCAGTCAATAAATGTGAGTAGGCAGGGCCAGCCCCGTGGCTCACTGGGGAGAGTGCAGCGCTGGTAGTGCCGAGGATGGCCAGCGTGCTCACTGACTGAGCATGGTGCAGACCACACCATGCCAAGGGTTGCGATCCCCTTACCGGTCCAAAGGGGGGAAAAAAAATGTGAGTAGGCAGTCAATAAATAAAATAAATTTATTTTAAAATGTGTGACATTTAAAAATAAAAGCAGAGGTCTGGGGGTAGAAATGGGGGGGAGTCGGTGACATTTGTTGGGTTAAAGACTCCAAAGGGACAGGATGGGGGAAGAAAGGGATGAACTGGGTTTGAGCCCTGCGGAGTCCCAGGTACACGTGGGACATTGGTGCAGGGGCAGGGAGCCAGGCCTCAGCGGGAGGCGTCCTGCAGGGCAGGTGGGGGGAGGGTAAGCTGGTAGAAAAGCGGTCCTTCTGACCTTTCTCAGGCCTTACCCGCTGCCCCCACGATCTAGAAGCGCCCAGAATTTCAGGCTCCAACCAGTTTCCAACAGCGGTTTTCTTTTATTCACTCCATTTTTTTTCACCCTCCACCTTGGGAACAGGCTGCTGTCACTCAGTTTTTGAGGTAATGAGGACAGAGCAAGAGTGATGGGCTTGAGCCCGATTATGAACGGTCCAGAGACGAAAACTAACATCGGACTTCACAGAAGCCCAGCGGCCAGCCCCGGCCCACGCCGCCCTCCGCCGGCTGCTCCTTTGTCCCCGCGCCCCGGGCGGGGCTGCGAGCCGGGCCGCGGACGCCCGGCTGGGTGTGGGGGGGGGCACCGGTCGCCGCCGCGGCCATTTTGGGTGAGGGCACGAAGACAAAGCTGCCCGGAGACGCCGGGTGGCGTCATCGTGGGCCCGCTTTTGCGCCGGAGCAAAGTTCGGGAGGCCGCGTTGCCGCCATGTTTTATGAAGGCATCCTGCAGTTCTGATGACGTCCCCGCAGCCTTCGGCTCTTAGTTGTCATCCACTTTAGTGGGCCCTCGAGAGGCCGGTCCCTGCTCTCTCTCTCCGTAATGACCACCCTCCAACCCCGGGACCCGGTCTGGGGACGCGTTCTTGGGCGAGAGAGGTTCTGCTGACCCAGGCCCGGCCAGGGGGGCAGCTGGTGCGTCGCCGGGACCGGCGGTTCCCATGGCGCCGCCTCCGGCCCCGCGCCCCGCCCGGGACCCAGACGGGGCCGGGCCCGAGTGGAGGAAGCCCGGGGCCGTGAGGTTCGCGGACGTGGCCGTGTACTTCTCCCCGGAGGAGTGGGGGTGTCTGCGGCCCGCGCAGAGGGCCCTGTACCGGGACGTGATGCGCGAGACCTACGGCCACCTGGGCGCGCTCGGTGAGGCCCCTAGTCAGAGCCCCTCCTCCCTCACCGGGGTTCACAGGGGAGGTGATAGAGTGCAGAGGATTGCAAGCCCTACCCCCGCACTGTTCCACCAACAGCACCAGCCACTTCCCATTCCTGGGCTTCAGGTACCCCCTGGGGAGTCTTTCGGTCCCGCAACCTCTTCATTCAGGCAGGAGCATTTGCAGACCCTGTCCAGGTTGAGTATAATTTTGAGGAGGAGCCCTCACCCTGGCAGGGAGATGTCCTCTTCCCAGGATAGCCTCTTAGGCCAGCACCGTGACCCCTGTTCTCTCCCAGGATTCCCGGGCCCCAAACCAGCCCTCATCTCTTGGATGGAACAGGAGAGTGAGGCTTGGAGCCCCGCCGCCCAGGATCCTGAGGAGGGGGAAAGCCTGGGAGGAGCTCCGAGAGGTGAGGGATTGTCCCGGGTCTCTCCTGACTTTGTTCTCCAGGGCTTCCCGTCTAGCAAAGTTTTCTTTCAGGTCCCCAATTCAGGCATTCGTATAGAAAGTAAAGAGCTAACCTGTGTTGGACACTAGATGGAGTGGGGGGTCCGAGGTCCCGGCAGTGGGCCCGTGCAAGGCGGCCTCCCCGCAGCGTGGGGTTTGCGTTCTTCTCCTCCAGGAGTCGGAGGCTCGAAGCCAGCGCTCATCTCCTGGGTGGAGGGAGAGGCGGACTTGTGGGGACCCGATGCCCAGGATCCGGAGGTGGCGAAGGCTCCGGCAGGAGTAGATACAGGTGAAGTATTGGGTATTCAGTCTCATGAGGACTTCTCTGTGCTTGACCCATCCTGGCACCCTCTGCTTAGCAGTTTCTTCCCTGAATTGCTTTCCTGGCCCCTGCCTGGCTTCTGGATTCCCCCTAGAAAGGGGCTGTGATTGGACTCAGGCCCTGACATACCCACCTCTGAGCTCCTCACACCTAGTTGGTCTTAAACTCTGTTGACTACGTGTATCTCCAGGCCATCCTCCCTGCTGTGTTCCCACACTCTGGCTCCTCTGCCACCTCCTGTGTTTTAGTTTACTTTCTCTTGGCTTCCAGTGTTTGCCTTCTTCAATTCATCTTGTTAACCTTTGCAAAGTGCCCAGCCCCACTGAATTTAGCAATGCCGGCCATTTTCACGCCTTTCTTTGTGCTGTTCCTGCTTCCTGGAGCATCCTCGATGTACACTCGTCCTTCGTAATGCAGCCTAGATGCTGTCATCTCTCCCGCCTCCCCCAAGTGCCATTTCCCCAGCCCTGAGGCACAATGTTCTATTCCTTCCCTCTTCTCCTGTTTCTGTCTTTGCAGGCGAGGAAAAGGTGTCCATCCTAGCTGCCCTGCCTGGGTGCTGAGCACCAAGGCGGCTGTACCTAAGGGTCTTCTCTGTCACCAAATGGGGTATGGGATTCAAGGACTAGGACTGAGCCACAGTCTGAGCTCTCCCCTTACCTCCCAGCAGGTTCCAGAAAAAAGGAAAAGAAGAGAGAAAAGGAAGGGACTGAAGCCCTGGGGAAGACCTTTTCAATGGCCACAGGTCCTCCCGGGCTGAAGGCTCTCCTGGTCCCCTCTCCTGGGCTCCCTTACGGTTTGGAGCAGCCGTCCAAGGGGCCTCGCCGGGGTCGACCCCCGCTCGGCGCCCACCCCCGTGTCCCGCGAGCAGACCAGCGTCACGGCTGCCACGTGTGCGGGAAGAGTTTTGCCTGGCGCTCCACGCTGGTGGAGCACCTCTACACCCACACGGGCGAGAAGCCCTTCGGCTGCCCGGACTGCGGCAAGGGCTTCAGCCAGGCCTCCTCCCTGAGCAAGCACCGGGCCATCCACCGCGGTGAGCGGCCCCACCGCTGCCCTGACTGTGGCCGGGCCTTCACCCAGCGCTCTGCCCTCACCACCCACCTGCGGGTGCACACAGGCGAGAAGCCCTACCGCTGTGCTGCCTGTGGCCGCAGCTTCAGCCAGAGCTCGGCCCTGTACCAGCACCAGCGGGTGCACAGCGGCGAGACGCCTTTCCCCTGCGCCCACTGCGGCCGCGCCTTCGCCCACGCCTCGGACCTGCGGCGCCACGTGCGCACCCACACTGGCGAGAAGCCCTACCCGTGCCCGGACTGCGGGCGCTGCTTCCGCCAGAGCTCCGAAATGGCAGCCCACAGGCGCACCCACAGTGGCGAGCGCCCCTACCCCTGCCCTCAGTGTGGCAGGTGCTTCGGCCAGAAGTCAGCCATGGCCAAGCACCAGTGGGTCCATCGACCAGGGGCCGGGGGGCGCAGGGGCCGGGGAGCCAGTGGGTTGTCTGTGTCCCTGGCCCCTGGCCGGGGGGACCTGGACCCACCTGTGGGCTTCCAGCACTATCCAGAGATATTCCAGGAGTGCGGGTGACAGCCTCAAAAGTGACAAGGCACAGGGTGAAGATCTAGACGTTGCCTGGGGCCCAGCATGGCTCCAGGGAGGTCACAGAATTCCTGGCAGGAGCTGGAGCTGGGGGATGAGAACAGTCTCATCTCCGTCTGCCCTCATCTTGCTCCCTCCTGCCCCAGACTCTAGCAGCCCCGTTTGCTGAGCCAGGGCTGAGGTGAAAAACCCCACCAGACCCCCATGTGTTAAGAGGATTGAGGTAAATGAGAACCTTGATTTACCCATGTCTTTTTACTACAGAAGTTGAAAACTGATGGTGGCGTAATGAATCTGGCCTGTAGCTACCTTGTTTATTTATTTTTTGGCCCAGGCAGCATTTTTAAATGTTATGAATTAGTGGTAAAAGTTTAAAAATCGGGATACTTCACACAAAAATCGAGGTTTCTGGCTTTTTTGGAAATATTCATAGATTTGGCAGCTCAACCTAAACTCCTGCAAGACCACAGTTGGTGGGAGCTGAGCCCACCCCTGTGGTCCCAGTCTATCCCCCCTGCTCCCAGTCCATCCCTGGTGCCCCTAATCTATCCCCTGTGCCCCCAATCCATCCAGTCGATGGAGCTGCAGCCAGAACTCTCTGTTCACCATGACCCTCCTGACCAAGCATCTGTTAACATTTGTCATGGCTCGCTTTTAGCATTTTTGGTGTTTTTCTTCAAGTAGAGCAAAGAAGAAAGTGAAATATTTCTTGAACCCATGTCTGTCAAAGCAGGCCTTATCCACCTGGCATTTGCCATTCATTTATATGACCTGCTGGGCTCCTATAGTCATTTGAGTTTGCAAACCATTCTCTACAGCATTCAGGTTTTCCTGAATTGGAGAGAGCATGTATGTGAAAGAGTGGCAGAAGAGAAGTGAAAATAGGCTTTTTTTAGATCTTTGCTGTATCGCATTTTATGATTTTCTTTTCTTTTTTTTTTTTTTTTTTAAGGATGGCCGGTAAGGGGATCTTAACCCTTGACTTGGTGTTGTCAGCACCACGCTCAACCAGTGAGCTAACCAGCCATCCCTATATAGGGATCCGAACCCGTGGCCTTGGTGTTATCAGCACCGCTCTCTCCCAAGTGAGCCATGGGCCAGCCCTGCGTTTTATGATTTTCAAAGTACTGGCTTGTCCATCAAGTCATGTCATGCTCGTCGCTGGAGATGGAAGCAACTTGCTTGAAGAGGACATCACAGTCAAGAGGAGGCAGTCAGGATTGAATCTTTCATCCCAATCCAAGTGGTATGTCTGCTGTGCCACGGCACCACTCTCAGCTGACCGGCTGTTCCTAGTTTTGAAAGGGAAGACCCTGAGAGGTCCCTCAGTCCTCCCTTGGCCTCCCTGGGAGAGCCCGATGGCTCAGGCCTTTTTGGTCAGCCTAGACCCAGCCAGGAGGGCCTCATCACATTTTTGAACCAGAGATCTCAGCTTTTCCATCCTTTTGCAGTTGAGGACACTGAGACAGATGGCGAAGCAACCTGTCCAAGGTCACATGCAGAATGAGACCCCAGGGTTCTTGGTTTACTGCTGTCTTTACCACATCCCTCCTGAGTCCCTTGCCAGTCTCTCAGCCAGGGTTCCGGAGGGATCTGCCCACTCCCTATGACAATGGGTAGGCCTTAATCTGGACTGGGACAGGCTAGCCCAGTGTCAGCAAAGCCCAGGCACCAGAAGAGTCTGACAAAACAGCCACGTGACAGACCAGGTTAAGGGAGAAACCAGCCTGGGATGAGAGTTCCAAGGTGAAAGCAAAGCTTGCATCTTTGCTCTGTGTAGATCCCCACCACTGTGAACAAAGGGGACTAGGCCAGGAACATTTGTGTTAGATTTGTAGCCATAGGGGATCGTACCCATCTGTATTCCCATGCTCTGCAGAGAATCCCCCGCCCCCCGCCATATCACCTTGTGACTCCATTATGCATCTATCACTAAGTCCTTTGTGGTCAGAGCCCACTCTTGTGCAGGTGACAGAAGCAGCCAGCCATGGGCAGACCCCGCCTGCCTGTGGTCAGGACATTTCCCTCAGAGAGTAGTAGCAAGGGCTTCTGTCCTCTGCTGGCTGTGCACACAGCCTATTCATTCATTTCAGCCCTGCGTCTGGCTACCTTAGGGAGGAAGAAACCAGATGAGTCAACCTGGAGAAAATTCTAAAGAATGAGGTAGGATATTTGAAGAAAAGACACTTTGGGTGAAGTAGTGAACTGACTCGATCCCAACCAAATCTTCAAATCCCACCCCACCAAATCCTCCCTTGCTTTAAGCTTTTCTGGGGAGGATTGGCTCATGTGCCATCTTGTCACAAGGGGAACATGGAGGGAGAAGAGGCACCTTGACAGTAGGAGCTACCTTTGTGCCAGCTTTTATTAGCAGTGTACAACCCCCTCCCTCCCCAATCCCCCGTGCTGCCGGGGAAAGCCCAGCTTGCAACACCAGTTCTCAGCTCAGACTCAAAACCAGATCCAGACCCTGCCCTCAGCTTGCCAATTAAAAGTGCCATAATTACTACTTAGAGATCTCTGAGTGCTTTGAAGTTTGGAAGGTTTGCTTAGGGACCAGAAACCAGACCCAACTCCTCTGCTTCCTGCTCTCATGACCCAACCTTCCACCATTTAATCAATTTTTTAGTGTCATGAAACCCTTAAGCCTCAGCGCCACTCCATTCTCAGCTCCTTGTCTCTTGGCACAGATACTTCCACCCAAAGTAGGGCTTCCGTTTCTCTCAGTTACCACAGGTCTTTGATGCTCAGCCCAAAAGCAATTTAAGCAAGGGAGAGGGTTTTCCCAGGGCTTCATTGGTGCATTAGGAGAAAAGCTTTTCTGCACCAAACAGGATAATCCCCAGCCCAGTGGCCTACAAGAATGAGAAATAGAGGCCATGACCACAGGGCCTGTCTCTAGCTTGTCGAGGCCACTTAAAACAAGGGTAGGTACTAATTTGAGCTCCAAAGACCCCTACAATTCCTTGGAATGTCTATCTGTGTGTGTCTTTCTAGGAATAGAACATTCTAAGATGTTTATTACTCAAAGAAGCTAAAAACTGCTCTAGGCCAGTATTTTCTTTTTCTTTTGGGTGGTTGGCCAGTATGGGGATCTGAACCCTTGACCTTGGAGCTATAGCACCATGCTCTAACCAACTGAGCTAACTGACCAACCCCATAGGCCAGCATTTTCAAAGTAAGGCCTCCCTGCCACAGAATCAGACGGGAGTATCTTTTAAAAATGTAGCTAGAAGGGCCGGCCCATGGCTCGGGAGAGTGCGGTGCTGATAATACCAAGGCCACGGGTTCAGATCCTATATAGGGATGGCCGGTTTGCTCACTGGCTGAGTGTGGTGCTGACAACACCAAGCCAAGGGTTAAGATCCCCTTACCAGTTTTTTTTTTTTTCCTTTTTGTCTTTTTTCATGACCGGCAACGGATCGCAAACCTCAGTGTCACGCCCGTACCAGACCGAAACCGGCAACGGGATCGCAACCCTCGGTGTTGCGTCCGCACCTCGCTCAGCCAGTGAGCGGCTGGTCTGTATGTGGGATCCGAACCCTCGGCGGGAGCGCCGCTGCGCTCCCAAGCGGCGCACTGTAGCAGTGCGCCACCGGGCCGGCCCCCTTACCAGTCTTTTAAAAAATAAAAAAAATTAAAAATGTAGCAAGATACCTGCACCTTACCCCTAGCCTATTGAATCAGAATCTCCAGGGGTGGAATATTATGCTTGCTGAAGTCAGAGAAAACTATTGCTCTAAACAAACTTTATTTTCTAGCTGCTTTTAGTTTTGCAAGAGTCTCAGGGCCTGTTCCAAATGTGTGAGGCCAGGGGATGACCTACTCATACACAAAGATCCCTTATTCTCTTTGTTCTTCCCACAGAGCCCTGTGCCATGGCTGGTCTCTTGTCGGGTACCTCAGATCAGACTGAATAGACTGGGGCATCTCTTTTAGCATCTGACAGAGAGGCATTTAGAGGGCTTGTCCTTTGCATACAGCAAAGCAGTAGTTCATGCAGAAGGCTTTCTTACACTAGAGCCTTGTGCAGGCTCTCCCTAGCACAGGTGCTGTGGTACAGGCCATGCTGGCTGGACCATGAGCATCGGTGCACTGAATGGCTCTGCCCAGTGCTGCTGCACACCAGGGGAGGATGTTGGGGACATCTACCTAACTCAGCACCTGCACAGGGGATCCTCCTCTCCATGGACACAGTGCTAGAACAAGGCCAGTGGACTTCCCCCTTGTCCTCTCTTGAATTAGTCGGTGCTGGGTCAAGTTGTAATTCTGGTTTATCAGAGGCTTCCTGTGCACAGAGCCTCACTGCTGTGGGTGTGTGGCAGGCTGAGGCTGGCTGCCTGTTGAATTCCCTGTGCATAGGCAGGACCCAGGTGCTGGAGGAGGCTTGCTGGAAGTCAGTCATTCTTTTACTCTAGGCTTCAATGAGGCTGTATTTCCACGTTGAAATGCTGGTGCCAGAACAACTTGAAGACCTGGCCCACCTTCTGCCACCCTTGGGGCTTGTGGCATGAAGAGTGCAAGCAGTTGACCATATCAGAGCTGGGGCTGGAGGCCTGCAACACATTTTGTAGGGTATGACAGCTTCTTGTGTGAGTTTTCTGGAGGATGAGCAAGTTGGAGGTCAAAGAAAAGTGTCTCATGAAGGACACTTTGGTTTCTCACCTGTGTGAGTGCTTTGAGGATAACCAGGGGGTGCCCCATATCCATCTCTTCCCAGTGGGTGCATTTGTAGGGTGTTCTGCCTGTGTGGGCTCTCTAGTGCTGGACCAGGTGAGCCATTCTTAGTAAAGGTTTTAGGACAAACAGACTTTGAGATGGGAGCTGGAGGCTGTTCCTTTGGGAGGCAGAAAGTTACCCCCAGTTCATTTTTGGGACCATCTCTATGATTCTAATAGTCTCTATTGAGATCTATAGGTTTTAGCCTTTTACCACTTGGTATTCTCCAAATTCTTGTTCTCATCTTTCAGGAGAATGGAAGATGCAATCTCTTACACTTTCCTCTGTGTAATGGTAAATTAATTAAAAAAAAAATTATGGGTTTTTACAATTTCCTTATTTTAAAACACTACTGGTTCTCCTAATGCTTTCCAAATGTGAGAAAACTCCCTCTCTCTCTCTTAAGCCATCTATAACTAATGACAGTTTGGTAAAATGTCATTTAGAACAGAGATAAAAGTATTTGTTTTCTCCCTATTTGATCTCCCCAAATTTAATAACTTTAAGTATCCTTATGATTATTATGGCAATGTGGCTATTTTTATAAGTTCAATGAAAATTAACTCTGTCTCTTTATAACAGGATATAATTTAAAACTTTGGATATAAGATAGCATGTCTCACTTCTAAGTTGCTGACCCCTCTTTCATGTTGCTTTAATTTGGCCTAACTGCTGCTTCGTCCTGCTGTTCATCACCCCCCGCCCCCCCACCACCGATGTGGGACAGGGGATCACTGAAGGAAAGTGAGCGGGATGCTTCTTTTAATCACTCCCTGGGAAAGGAGTTCCCAGTGCTGTGGGATTTATGCAAAGAAAAGTAAGACCTTTTCAATCAAGATATTTATCATCAATGCTTTTATTAGTAATGCCTTGTTCATAAAGGGGGAAGTAACATCTCTACAAAAGCAGTTCTCTAAATTTTCCTGGCCTTTAAGGGGTGTTTGTAACTTGGATGAGACATCCTGTTCCTAAACAAAAGACTTGTAATTGATCAAATATTTTACAAAAGACTAGACACTCTGAAAGCAATAATGTCCTGGACAATTTAACATCAAAAAACTCTCTGGACTCAGAATCAACTATTATATGGAGCAGAATCCCTTTCCAGAGTTTCAACAATTGGTGATTACACCCAATTCACAGCACATAGAATGATGCCAATGCAGCCACTGAGAGACAATGACATCATCAGTCCTCACCTGAAGTAAATTAAAAGGACTTGCCATGCTAAATGATACCAACTTTGCTTTAAATGCTTTTGTCTTAACTGTGCCAACCTGATCTATAGCTTTTGCCTTTTCTTTTAAATAAATAAAATGGGGGGAGATGTAGAGGATGCATAAAGCGTATGTACTTCACAGGGCCTGGTTTTCCAAAGCCTTGCAGTTTCAAATAATGAATGACCTTACAAAAAACAGGAAATTTTCCCCAGGCTATTGAGTCTCTGTTGTAAGGTAAAGAGTTGTAACACAGCA